GACTTACATCTAAGTGTGTAAGAAGAGGCTTACACCTAATTGAAAGCTTGGAGTCATTCAATTTCCCTATAGTTACAGGGCTTTTCAAATTATCTGTTTTCATATTGGGTGAGTCATGGTAGTTTGTGCATTTCAAGGAATTGGTTCATGTCATTTAACTTGTTGGACTTTTTTATATGTAAATGTTATATAGTATTCCTCTATTATGCTTTTGATATCTACCGTGGTCTGTAGTGATATATCCCCTTTATCATTATTCCTACTGACAAGTTGTGTCTGTTGGGTTGTTTTTTGTTTGTTTGTTTTAATTTATTTTGAGACAGGGTCTTGCTAAGTTGCCCAGGCTGGCCACATACTTGTGATTCTCCTGTCTCAGTCTCCTCTGAGTCACTAGGATTACAGGCTGAAAGGATAAAAGAAACTGAAGTTAAAGACCAGGCATTGTAAAGCTTCTAAGCTGCAAAGCCTGAGTTAAAATGTAAAAGACCAGGTATTGTTAAGTTCCTATGCTACACTCAAAACCTGAAATTCCTGTAGCTGTTAGGACAATTCACAGGACTGCCCAGTAGATATTCCCCCTGACCATTTAGTTGTTAAATAACCTGGGCCCTGTGCAGTTTGGCACGTAGGCATTCAGGGCCCAAACCAATCAGTTTAAATGTGTACCCCGCTTTAGGACTAACCTATCACCCCCGCCCGACCTGTTCCCTCCAATGAATGTACTAATCATGTTCGAGAGTTGTTGTTCGATTTTCCCGCACCTCATGATGATTTGCTCTGATGTATGCAAAGCCCCCGCCCTCCCCAAAAAGTGTATTTAAGCACTGCTCAACCCCTGCTTGGGGCTCTTGACCGCTCTCCCTTCTTGAGTGAGCACGGAGCCCCAGCATGCTGGATTCTTCAATAAACCCCCTTTTGCGGTTGCATGAGTCCGTCTCTTGGTGGTCTCTTCCTTCGACGTTCGCCGGACCCTTACAAGGCTTGTGCCACTACACCCAGCAACTTTTTTCAGTCTTACCAAAGGTTTATTTATTTTTTCTTTTTTGTGATGATATGGATCAAACCTAGGGCCTTTGTATGCAAGACAAGTGGTCTGCCACTGAACTACATTCCCAGCCCTAAGATTTGTTGAGCTTTTCAAATAACCAGCTTTTTGTTTCATTAACTTTTTCTCTTTTAATTTCATTGACTTCTTCCCTTGTATTTATTATCTCCAATCTACTGCAAGGTAGTAGTTGAAGTCTGTATTCCCCGCTCTGCCACCATTGACATCCGGATGAGGAGGGCCACCTTCTTGCTAGTGTGAGAGTGTGGGAGTTCACACTCCCATTAGGCTTTCCTTGAAGGGATGTGGGTGCTCCTGGTATGTACTCCATTAATAATTTCCAGGGAGTGGTGACATGGTGTTAAGAGGAGGTTATAATAGGTGGCAATAGAAGTCTTGACTACACTGCAGTGTAGCTTGGAGGTAGACAATAATAGCTTCATTATTACTCAGGCACTGCAGATAGTCTCCATTGCAGTTACAAGGGGCTTTGCTGATCAAAGGCCCAGCTGCCCAGGGGGCTTCTCTGACACTATGGGTGATTGGGGCATCTGATTTCAGTTTGGCCAGGGTGGAAATCAAGGCTTCCCAATAGGCTTTTGCTGGTGGAAAAGGCGGGCACAGGTTTTTTTTGTGTGTGTGTGATATTTGACTGTTTATTGATTATTGGAGTGATTATTGTGTATATTTTTTTCAATCTATCTTGCAAGGCTGCCTCTTTCCTGTTCCTTTGAGTAGTTTTTGTTTGTTTTTTGTTTTTAAAACAGGTATTTTTATTTGTACACAGATATATACTTAGTATATATTTTTTGCATTTTAATACTATTTTTTATTCTAATTAGTTATACATGATAGTAGAATGCATTTTGACACATCATATGTAAATTAGTATAACTTCTCATTCTTCTTTTGTACAATGATATTGAATCACACTGTTTGTGTAATTATATATATACATAGGGCAACAATTTCCGATTCATTCTACTATTCTTCCTATTCCCATACCCCTCCCCTCTCTTCACTTCCTTCTGCCTAATGCAAAGTATCTCTATTTTCCCTAGCCACACACTCGCCATTGTGAATTAGCACTCACATATTTGGAAAAAAAACAAAAAACAAAAAACATTCACCCTTTGTTTTTTGGGGGGATTGCCTTATTTTGCTTAGCATAATATTCTTCAGCTCCATCCATTTACCTGCAAATGCCATAATTTCATTCTTCTTTAAGGCTGTGTAATATTCCATTGTGTATATATCACCACATTTTCTTTATCCATTCATCAGTTGAAGGGTATCTAGGTTGGTTCCATAATTTGGCTATTGCAAATTGAGCTTCTATAAACATTGATGTGGCTGTGTCACTGTTGTATGCTGATTTAAAGTCCATTGGATATAAACTGAGGAGTGGGATAGCTGGGTTAAACAGTGGTTTCATTCCATGTTTTCTGAGGAATCTTCATATTGTTTTCCAGAGTGGTTGCACCAATGCAGTCCCCTTTGGGTAGCTTTTGGGTATTTTTTTTTTTAGTTTGTACCTTTTGGTATTTCAGGAATGCTGATGTCATGATAACCCATTTTGGAGTATATAAGGATAAAAGAAAATTAAGTGAACTCACCACTGTGTTCCTTGGGTCCTGAGTTCTTTTGCCAATCTGCTGCCTTCTCTCTACTGTTTGCATTTTTTTTTTTTTGAGGTGGATACTGGGGATTTAACCCAGGGGGGCTTTACCACTAAGTCACATCCCCAGCCCACTTTTATTTTTTATTTTGAACCAGGTCTCATTAAGTTGCTTAGGGACTCATTAATTTGCTGAGGCTGGCCTCAAACTTGAGATACTCCTGTCTAAGCCTCCTGAGTTGTTAGGATTACAGGTACATGCCACCATGCCTGACTGTTCATAATTTTCATATGTTTGTTTTTATATAGGACAGTGGGAGTGTTTAGCTGTACATAGCTAGAGAAATAATGAAAATTAGGATTACCCTCTCTCTTCAGTGAAGTCTATTGTCACATCTTTACAACTTTCATGTTAATTCTTGGCCAGTATTATATGTTAAATAATCACTGACATAATGGAACCCAGTTTGGGGCTTGTCTTTTTTACTTTGAACACAGTAATATTTTGATTATCTATAGTTCTATAACAAAGTTGACTATATTAATCTTTCTTTTAAAGCTTTTCCTTTTTGTTTCTTGCTTAACAAGTCTTATTCCTACCCCAAGATAACAAAGATAATTTACATTTCATTGTGAATTTTGGGCTAGTCAGCTTTCTGTTAATATAACAAGATACCTGAGATAAACAGTTTATTTTTTAAAAGATTCACTTGGGCTCAAAATTTTGGAGGGTTCAGCCTGTGATGGGTTGGCCTCATTGCTTATGGTGGGCTGTGGTGAGGCAGCACATCATGGTGGGAGTACCTGGCAGAGCAAAACCACTTGGCCTCACCAGCCAGGAAGGAACAGGGAATGTGGAAGAAGGGGTACACACAATCCCAAAGAGTAAGGACCTCTCACTCGGTCTGATCTGGTATTGTGTATTCAGTTCTATTTTGTTTATTTTACATAAATATCCCACTATCTTAATTGTTGTAGCTTTGTAGTATGTCTCATTATTTAGTAGTCATTTCAGCTGATCAAAGTTCTGTTAAATCTCTATTGGAATTGCTGCTAAAACATTGAATCTATAGATATGTTTAGGGAGAATTGGCATCTTTACCATTGTGAATATGTTTTTTTTCACTACTTAGACTTTTTTTAAAAAAAGATTTTTAGATCAGACATTGAATTCAGCGGAGCTTTACCACTGAGCTACATATCCAGTTATTCCCATTCCAGTTGCCCCCAAGAAGGTCTGGCTGTTACCCAGGCTCACTTTAAACATGTGATCCCCTTACCTCAGCCTCCCATGTAGCTAGGGTAACAGGTGCCACCATGCCTGGCATTTAAATGCTTTCAAATATAACTTAACATTCTCCACAGTGATATTTAGACATCTTTTAAAATTTATTCTTAATTAATATATTTGTGTTGCTGTTATTAAGTGGATTGATTCTTTATTTACTTAGTGGTGCTGAGGATCAAATCTAGGGCCTCACATAGACTAGGCCTGCACTCTACTGTTGCACAGCATTTCTAGCCCCAAACGAATTTTATTAATTAAAATTTTTGTTTCCTACTTGATATAAAATTGGCCTTTGAATTATTTTGTGTTGGTTCTTTTTTTTAATATTTTTTAGTTGTAGATGGACACAATACCTTTATTTTATTTGTTTATTTTTTTGTGGTGCCAGGGATCGAACCCAATACCTCCTACATGCTAGGCAAGCACTCTATCATTGGACCCACAATGCTGGCCCCTGTGTTGGTTCTTATATGCTATATTTTAAAATGTATTGCAAGCTCTTCTAAGCTCATATTAGATTTTAATGTACTTACTATTTATTGTTTTACTATACATTATGGAAGAGGATTGTTTTCTCCTAAAGCAATGCCATTTGCATTTTTGTTAAAGGGAAACAGAATAGTGTTTCATATTATCCTGTCAAAGTTTTAACACAAAATGTTTGTGCTCCACTCCCAGAAATTTTGATTCTGTAGGTCTAAAGAGAACCACAGTTCCTTGTTCATTTAAAAATCTATGTGGTTCTGTACATTCCTGTTTAAAACCACTGCCAGGGAAGTTGCTAAACAGTAAATGTAGTAGCTAATGGGGGTGTCTATTTTAGGAGAGGGCATATCATTTAAAATTATGAACATTTAAGCATCATTTAATATTTTGAGTATGATATATGTAAATAAAAATATATACATAAAATGAATTGCTTATGAACTTAAATAGGCATGAATTTTATATGAATGGACATTGTAGAAGAACCCAGTTACATTGTAGATGTGTTGTTTAGTACTCAGTATATTATATTAAAACTTAAAATGTGATTTTGTCTTTCCTAGTTGGAGTCATTCGATGCCCAGTATGCAGCCAAGAATGTGCAGAGAGACACATCATAGATAATTTTTTTGTCAAGGATACTACTGAGGTTCCCAGCAGTACAGTAGAAAAGTCTAATCAGGTAAGTGGATAATTTTGAGCTTTGAGCTTTTGCCAGCTATTGATGAGGCACCTAAAATCCTGGAGGGCTCAAATGAAAGGAGCCAAATTTTAGACCATTAATTTATGAAGGTGTATAGAATTTTTAAGTATATAAATAATAATGAATGGTTCAATTTAAACACAGCACAGACACCCATGATTACATCCCTGTATTCCCCATCCTCTCCAGAGAAAAACATTATTCTATATTTGACAATATTTCATTTCTTTATACTTAAATATATATTGTCAATTAGATTTTAATTTCAATCTCCCTTTTCACTTTTTTTCTGTTCTAATGATACCTATGAAATACATCATGTCTTTGATTAGTGAGGAGTCTGCTTTTGTTAGGAAAGCTATTTTTTCTATATGGTATTATTTTAAAAGCCTCATTTGGTAGCATTGTCCCAGGCATTGGATTTAGAGATACAATGGTATCTTCTTTCCTACTTTCATAACCTATATAGAACATTTCTATTGGCCACTTAAATCTGGACGTCAGGTCCCTAAGGAAGATCCTTGGTACTGTAACTAGGGTTAGGTTAGCCACACTGAGATAGGCATATTTGTCTACTTGTGGAACATGATTCATCAGTGATTCCTCTAGGCAGTTCCTTTCATTTGTAACAGAAGATCTGGAGAGGAACTAAATTTGGTTAGGAACTAAATTTGGTTAGGGAAACATGATTATTAGTTGTTTTTATCAGAAATTTGTTTAGTGCACATGCTTATTTTCTGTGCTCTTTTTTTCATTTTTAGCTTTTTGTTTCTAAAGGGAAGCACAGGAATGCACGGGTTACTTTATAAATGAGCATAGCCGTTACTAATTAAAATTATTTTTGTACCAGGCATGTAGCTCAGTTATGGACCTTTTGCCTAGCATGTGCAAGGCCTTGAGTTCTAACCTGAACACCACAAAATAAAAGTCTTTTTGTTGTTTCAAAGGTATTTACAGTTATTCCTTTATATGAACTTTCATTAAAGGCCAAAATTGCACTTTCTTCACGGGTACTTTCTAATTATTGTGAATCAGCTTTCAAGAATGGAAATGGGTTGGGGGTATAGCTCATTGGCACAGTATATGCTTAGCATGCTTCGGTTCCTGGGTTCAGCCTCCATCACCCAAAGGGAAAAAAGAAAAAATGGCATTGGTTTTGAAGACCATAATATGGGTCCTATGGGTGCTCATCACCATTGGGTTAGTCATTTTTTCTAGGCCTTTCGTGGTAATAATCTAACAAATCTTTTTATTAGAAAGAAAGACAATGTAAGTATTTATCTAAGTCAAATTTAGAATTAATAGGGTTGTACTTTTTTATTTTATATGTGTATCTCTTCTATTCTGGAAACATTGGTTCTTTATTAAATTGGCCATAATTATTTTCTCCAGGAAAAATAAATATCCACTATACATTATACGAGTATATTATATTTGTCTTGGTGCAACAAGGAACTATTTTAATTCTTAAAATGAATTGTTAACTAGCTATAAAATTGATTTCTGTAAAGATCAAAAGAAAGTTCTTTAAGTATTCACCAAGGGAGTAACTTTTGGGAAGCAGCTGAGGAAACAAAAGCAAAAGATGGCATTATTTAAAGAGGAAGGATTTTGTGGAATGTCACCATGGCTGGTGCTGGGTCTGAGTCTTCAGCTTGGAACTCAGATCTCTAAACCCTTGGTGCTGGTGTCTCTGAAGTAGGTTGCAAGAAAACTGGTTCTAGAAGTATTGGTTAAACTCCCAACTAGAGCTGACTATTTCTATAAGAAGGAACTGGTACTCCTGGGGGAAAGTAGCATTGTCTGGAATGATGTTCCACAGAATTCACAAGCAGAGAGCTAACTGCAAGCCTCAAGTCTCCTCTTCTGACGTTGCAACTTCCTTGCAGACCACCAATTGTTAGAGTCTAAAGTGAAACCAACTGCAACACATAAACGTAGCAGAATAAGAGTACATGGAAGAGTAAAGTTGGAGCCTAAAGGAAATTGTAGAGTGTAGCAAAACAGAAAGCAAGAGCCATGGCTGCATGTATTAACTGGAAGGTGTACAATCAAATCTCTCTCTTTTTTTTTTGTACTGGGATATAACTCAGGGGCAGTTTTCCACTGAACTACATCCCAGACATTTTTTACTTGTTATTTTGAAACACGGGCTTACTAAGTTGCTGAGGTTAGCCTTGAACTTAAGCTTCTCCTGCCTTAGTCTCCTGAGTTGCTGGCATTACAGTTATGTACCAGTGCTCCTTGCTCAAATCATCATGTTTTAAAGTTACGTATTACAAAAAAAAATTTTTCTCCCTGTGGTGATAAGTCATCCACTTGATAGACAGCTATGGTTGCTTTATTTGGTTTTGATGTTTAGGGATTTAAGTTTTAAAATTTGTATTATTATAACTACATTTAAAATATTCATATACTTCCAAAATAAAATCTAAAAAAAAAAAACCAGGATATTTTCACAGAGCTTCTATCCCTATCATATCTACCATATTTCTTCCCTACCTTATAGGTAACCAATTACTACTTTTATAGTTATCCTTTTGGGGTTTTTTTATATGACAATGGAATGCATTACAATTCTTTTTACATATATAGAGCACAATTTTTCATATCTCTGGTTGTATACATAGTATATTCACACCAATTTGTGTCTTCATACATGTACTTTGGCTAATTATGATCATCACATTCCACCATCATTAATAACCCCATGCCCCCACCCTTCCTCTCCAACCCCTCTGCCCTATACTAGAATTCGTCTATTCTTCCTGTGCTCCGTCTCCCTATCCCACTATGAATCAGCCTCCTTATATCAAAGAAAACATTCCGTATTTGTTTTTTTGGGATTGGCTAATGTCACTTAGCATTATCTTCTCTAACTCCATCCATTTACCTGAAAATGATTTTATTCTCTTTTATTGCCAAGTAATATTTCATTGTTTATATATGCCATATTTTTTTTATCCATTCACCTATTGAAGGGCATATAGGTTGGTTCCACTGTTTAGCTATTCTGAATTATGCTGCTATAAACATTAATGTGGCTGTGTCCCTGTAGTATGCTGATTTTAAGTCCTTTGGGTATAGACTGAGGAGGGGGACAGCTGGGTAAAATGGTGGTTCTATTCCCAATTCTCCAAGAAATGGGAGAATACATACTTCTCTGTTCTTCAGTAAAAATGCCTCAGGACTCAAAATTTATCAGGAGCAAGAGAAACATTGCTTTAAAAAGCCAAAAGCAATTTAGCTATTGTGAATTGTGGTGCTATAAACATCCATGTGGTTGTGTCCCTGTAGTATGCCGTTTTAAGTCCATTGAGTATAGACCAAGGAGAGGGATAGCTGGGTAAAATGGTGGTTCCATTCCCAGATTTCCAAGGAATCTCCATACTGCTTTCCATATTGGCTGCACCAGTTTGCAGTCCCACCAGCAGTGTATGAGTGTACCTTTTTCCCCACATCCTTGTCAACACTTATTCTTGTTTGTATGCATAATAGCTGCCATTCTGACTGGAGTGAGATGAAATCTAGAGTGGTTTTGATTTGCATTTCTCTAATTGCTAGTGATGACGAACATTTTTTTCATATACTTGTTGATTGATTGTATCCTCTTCTGAGAAGTGTCTGTTCAGGCCCTTGGCCCATTTATTGATTGGGTTTTTTTTTTTTGTGTGTGTGTGTGCTTAGCTTTTTGAGTTCTTTATATAGCCTAGAGATTAGTGTTCTATTTGATGTGTGAGGGGTAAAGATTTGCTCCCAAGATGTAGGCTCTCTCTTTACCTCACAGATTGTTTCTTTTGCTGAGAAGAAACTTTTTAGTTTGAATCCATCCCATTTATTGATTCTTGGTTTTAATTCTTGTACCACAGGAGTCTTATTAAGGAAGATGGGGCCTAATCCCACATGATGGAGATTAGGGCCTATTTTTCTTCTATTAGACATAGAGTCTCTGGTTTAATTCCCAAGTCCTTGATCCATTTTGAGTTTGAGTTTTGTGCATGGTGAGAGATAGGGGCTTAATCTCATTTTGTTGCATATGGATTTCCAGTTTTCCCAGCACCATTTGTTGAAGAGGCTATCTTTTCTCTAGTGTATGTTTTTGGTGCCTTTGTCTAAAATAAGATAATTGTAGTTTTGTGGGTTAGTCTCTGTGTCCTCTGTTCTGTACCATTGGTCTATCAGTCTGTTTTAGTGCCAATACCATGCTGTTTTTGTTACTATTGCTCTGTAGTATAGTTTAAGGTCTGGTATAGCGATGCCACCTGCTTCACTCTTCCTGCTAAGGATTGCTTTAGCTATTCTGGGTCTCTTATTTTTCCAGATGAATTTCATGATGGCTTTTTCTATTTCTCTGAGGAATGCCATTGGAATTTTGGTCAGAATCGCATTAAATCTGTATAGTGCTTTTGGTAGTATGGTCACTTCGATAATATTAATTCTGCCTATCCAAGAGCAAGGGAGATCTTTCCATCTTCTAAGGTCTTCTTTGAGTTCTTTCTTTGGGGTTCTGTAGTTTTCATTGTATAGATCTTTTACCTCTTTTGTTGATTCCCAAGTATTTTATTTTATTCATTTTTTTGAGGCTATTGAGAATGGGGTAGTTTTCCTCATTTCCCTTTCTGAGGATTTGTCACTGGTACACAGAAATGCCTTTTTTTTTTTTAAATGGGTGTTGATTTTATATCCTGCTACTTTGCTGAATTTGTTTTACTAGTTCAAGAAGTTTTCTGGTGGAACTTTTAGGGTTCCTGGTATAGAATCATATCAAGAGCAAATAGTGCCAATTTGAGTTCTTCTTTTCCTATGTGTATCCCTTTAATTTCCTTGGTCTAATCTCTCTGGCCAGTGTTTCAAAAGAATTATGTTAAATAGAGGTGGTGAAAGAGGGCATCCCTGTCTTGTTCCAGTTTTTAGAGGGAATGCCTTCAATTTTTCTCCATTTAGAATGATGTTGGCCTAAGGCTTAGCATAGATAGCCT